AGTAATGGAGATTAATGTTTCAGATGAACTACCATGAAAGCTTAAATAATATTTGGAGTTGTGGAGTTGTAAATATTATTTTAGTTTGGTAGAAAGTTAATAAAAATACTGGGAGAAATGTATATAGTTAATATGCTTGAGAGTATATAGCTATATGCTTGTGATATATAGCTAATATACTTGAGAGTTATAGCTAATATGCTTGAGAGTATTAATGCATGTTTGGATATTTTCATGCGTAAGGTTTTGGGGCATTTTGAAGCTATATGCTTCAAAACTTCACTTAACGTGCTTGGAATAGGCACTTAACGTGCTTGGAATATGCACTTAACGTGCTTGGAATATGCACTTTACGTGCTTGGAATATGCTCTTCTATTTATGCATTTTGAAGCTATATGCTTCAAAGTTACACTTAAATGCTTGGTATATGTAGCTGTATGCTTGAGATTATTGAACTACATATATGGATATTATTTATATTTATTCTTTGCATGTTTTCATGCGTAAGGAATATATAAATATAAATATATATATATATATATAAATATAAATATAAATATATATATATATATATATATATATATATATATATATATATATATATATATATATATATATATATATATATATATATAGAATTACAATCATATAGGAACCCATCTTTAGGTAGGAACTTAGGAACTAATCTAAGCCTTTTATTTTAATTAATCAACGGTTCATGTTTATTTTGTTTAATTGTTTTTTTTTTCCCGTTGATTTGTTTATATTTTAGGTAAACAAGGGTATTTTAGGTTTTTGGGTGGTGTAAGTAGATTGAAGCCGCGACCTTCTCGCATGTTCTTCGCAGTCTAAAGTTGTGAGTCGTAGGTTGGACTCTGTCGTCGTCGCATAGCTTCCTCACACCCAAATTGCAATTGGTTTGTGCTCTCCCTCGTCGCTGCCTCAGTGCTCCATATCAGATGGTCGGCGGTACGGTGATGGTAGGAATTCCAAATGTCCTCGTCGGGTGGTGATGGAGGTTTCGAGTTCTGTTGCGCTCCTTCTCTCTTTCTCTGTTTCTCTCTCTCCGTCGCGTGAAGTTATCAATGAAGAAGACAATCTTTTGAGCTATAATTTTCATCTTTAATGGTGATTTAATGTTTCTTCTTCAACTTCCTGGTATCACATCACTGTTATATGTATACGGAAGTATAAACCCAAATTTGTTTATGTAGTTTAATACCTCAAGCATTTTTAGTCTTTTAATGTGTTTTTTTTTTTTAATTATTGTTATGAATTTGCTACTTACCATGGGGCACCATCTCTTCGGATTGCCAAGAGAAAATTTGATATATTTCTGTTAATTTGACCGGGGGGACTGAGCTTGTAGTTTTGGTAGGTGATGTTGATGGGAAATTTGAGGCAATTTGATTGATATTGTTTATGAAAGAGGTATGATAACTTGGGTAATCTTACCCTTTTTTTTGTTGGTTTGTTTTTGCTTTTCTTTTTATTATATGTTGCTAGATGTTTATCTAGGCTGGTTCTTTGTAGGTCAAAGAGACAAAGAGCTCTGAACAATACGAGTTTAATCATCACAATATGGCAATGCATTCTCTAAAACATATTGCTCTTGGTCTGTGTGATACCCACAAATATTCTCTTTTCTTATTCTTCGCTTCATCTTTGTTGAGTAATTCAATTTAATAATAAGGTTGTTTTTTGTTTTACAATGTACTATCAGTTATTAGCGAATGCACCACATCTACAATCTACTTGCTTAAAAGTTAGGACTGGTATGTGTTTTCGTGGTTATATCTATTACCATTTGTGTTTGATTTTGTCTATGGTCCTCGTGTATTCATACTGTCAGTATTATTCCGCATTATGGGACACACAGTTCAACCAAAGTGCACACCAACTTGTATCTCATTTTTCCATACAGAAATTAATTCTTACACGTTATGGCACACACAGGTTAACCTATGTGCACACCCTAGTTTATCACATCAATATGGTTTTCCTGTGTTCCTTCAAACAGTAATGTTGCACAGTATGACACACACAGTTCTACCTAAGTGCACACACAGATGTTTAACGTATTTTGCATGCACCTTTTTTTTTTTTTTTCCTTTTGTTTGATTTTGTTGCTTATTTAGTTTCTAATATTTTTTTATCCATGTACACCTTTTGACAAAATGATTTGTTGTATGTGTTCCTGGATGATGTGGTTGATGATTGGTGTGGGACTGTTGTACGGAAGCTTGTTCCTAGAAGGATGCAGATGCGTTGGAAGACAGTTATAGGAAGAGCAAGTCTTAATTTCAAATCATTAGATCAAGTGAACCCAAAGATGTCCAGAGATAGAAAAGAGCAATGTACTGAACAATATTACACAAATACCTCTCTTAGTGTAATGCAACACATTAATACCCTGTCACCCTCCCCACACTTTACATTTTGCTTCTACTTTATAATCAACCATTTATTTTATCATTTTAAAACATATCTGACAATACCATAATGTTTATGATGTACTATGTTAATTATTTGATGAATTTAGCAGATACAAACATGTTTGTTGTTAATAAAATGACGTAGTTTATTATTATTTTTTTTTGAGAGTAACCTAGGTATCTATTCTCATATAAATGATTGATCATTAACGCTTGTCACATGTTTACTGTTAAACACGTTTAAGGGGTATTGGTGCATGCACAACCGTATACGGGTGCATGAACACATTCGTTAACCTAAGTGCACACGGTATTTAGTATATCAATTTTTTTAATATCATGGCACAAACTCGTTGACCCAAGTGCACACACAGTTCTATGTAAGTGTACACCAATCCAAGTGCACACCAAACTGTTTAAGATCTTTTCCTACACAAACTAATTTTGTAAATTATGGCACTGCACGCACAATGTATCCTAAGTGCACATAGTCGACCCAAGTGCACATCATAATCTATCAATCCAAGTGCACACCAACTTCTTTTGCATCTTTTCATCCACATACTCATTATTAACGTTATGGCACACACAGTTTAACCTAAGTGCACAACATAGTGATTAACACCAACCTTGTTTTGGTGCATGCACACATTCGTTAACCTAAGTGCATACCGTATTTCGTATATTAGTTTTCTTGAGCACCATGGCACAAACTCGTTAACCCAAGTGCACACACAGTTCTATCGAAGTGTACACCAAAATTTTTAACATCTTTTCATACACACACTAATTCTGCAAATTATGGCACACATGATGTAACCCAAGTGCACACAGTCAACCCAAGTGCACGCAATATGGCACACACACAATGCAATATGGCATACACACATCCTCTACGTTATGACACATTCATTTTTACTCAAGTGCACACAGAAGTGTATAATATCATCCTAGTTTTCGTGGATTCAATCTATTAGAATTTTTGCACATAATGGCACTCACAGGTCAACCTAAGTGCACGCCGGTTCATGATCACAATAATTATACATATTATGACACACTCAGTTTTACCCATGTGCACAACGTCATCTTTAACATCATCCTGCTCATATCAACCTAAGTGCACTCCTATTCATGGCTGCTTTAATACTTCACAGTATTTCACACACATGTAAGCAGCAGTTCACACTCATTCATCACATAATGGCACACAACACATACTTCCATGTTATCCCCCCTGCCGGTCCTTCTTCTCAGTCGCCCGTCGCACATCAAAGCCTATTGTCGTTACATATGTTGTGTAGAATTAATTCCTGCTTCCAACCTAGGAAACTGCTGCCTGACAAAAGGCTTCAGTGTCTCATCACACTCTGGAGTCCAGTACTTTGTTGATCCTGGAGAAATATCTAATGAACACCCGGATGAACTCCCTGATGTGCCGTCATGACCTATAAAGTAATGCCCTCGTTATTTCAACACAGTATATAGTTAGGCTAAATGGCACAAACAATTAGCCCTACGTGCACGCAGTCAGGGTTCCAGTGGCTAGTATGGCACATTAATTACCCCTTAGGTGCACACACGGCTAGCCAACACCTCAAAGTGTTGGATGTGTATAAGGGCACATACATTATATTCTCCATAGACGTGATTTTCGCGTGTGCCCTTCCTCTATCTGCTGTGTGCACACAACCAAAGTGGATCGTACAGGGGGTGTTGTGCACTTGGGTATCGCAGTATGTGCAGTACTAAGCAGCACTACTGTACGTGTTAGCAATTTGTGTGCATTTAGGATGTCCTGACTGTGCCGACGTGAGTCCCCAAAAAATGCCACCATGTATTCACGAGAACCAGACTAAGGATTAGCATAATATTTTAACCATTGTACTACCTTCCTCTCTAAAAGCACTACACAAAACACACAGAGAATACCAGCACCCCTCATGGAATTGTTTGTGCATGCGTAGAGGTATTCAATCTCATCCCAAATTCAATGATGCACGGGAACAACGAACAAATATTTCACTTACCAGTGTCGTCACTTGCCATCATTCTGCACCGAACTTCATTGACCACTTTTCTTCGCCGCGCTCCGAAACATCTCGTACGGCGACCGCAGACGGGATTGCAGTATCTCAGTCCAATTGGTTTCCTTCCGTATCTTGTCATCCTAAAACATAGGAAGGAATCTAAATATAATATTAGTTTATAATTAGTTGATGGTCAGAATTACACTATTGCCCTTTCTAATTAATTATGTTTAAGATCCAGATAAAAATGACTAATTATCTCGACCTTAGATTGTGTAAATTTTAATGGCTTGGATAAGTTCTTAAGTTCCTACCTAATCAATGGTTCTTACTTGAAGGCCTCCCTATACATATATATATATATATATATATATATATATATATATATATATATATATATATATATATATATATATATATACATACATACATAAGCTTCCTAAGCTGCCAGGGGGGTCCCGGAACTACCCGGCCTCGGGGCAATCCGCGCTTCTTCCTCGCAAACTCACCACCAAAGCGAATGATTTTGTGAAGGAGGAGGTTTTGGTTTGCGTTGGCAATACACACGAAGCCTTCAAGGTCACGGAGGATCCGCCGAGGCAATTTCCGCCGGCGTTGAAGGATTGCGGCAGGATTGTTGCGAATCAGGAAGGGGCCAAGTGGGAAATTGAGGAGATGCCATCGGGGAGGGTTATGGGAGATATGTTGATTCTTCCCGACGGGAATGTCCTCATAATTAATGGCGCGCAAAAGGGGACCTCTGCTTGGGACGCGGCGGAGGAACCAAATTTCACTCCGGTGCTTTACAGCCCGGATAAACCGAAAGGGGAAAGGTTTACTGAGTTGACACCAACAAAAATTGCCAGAATGTACCATTCCACTTCTGCGGTTTTGCCCGACGCTAAGATCTTAGTAGCGGGAAGTAACACCCACGTTTCCTACGATATGAAAGCCAAATACCCAACCGACATGCGCGTCGAGAAATTCTCGCCGCCGTACTTAGCCCCCGCATTGCAAAAGTTCCGGCCGCAGATTGTGGAGAACCTTTCCCAAAAGGAATTGGTTTATGGAAAGAATTTCAATATCCATTTCAAGCTAGATGATGCTGCGGACATGTCTAGTATTAAGGTTACCATGTATCCGCCGCCTTTCACCACTCACGGGTACTCTGAGGGCCAAAGGATGCTGATTTTGGGACTCACCTCTGTGGCCAAGGACACCATCTCTGCCGTGGCGCCATCCTCTGGCAAGCTTGCACCACGAGGCTATTACTTGATCTTTGTTGTGCACCGTGGCGTACCCAACAAGGGATTGTGGGTGCATATTAAATAGAACAGAATAGAAGATTGGGCTCGCTTGTTCAGTGTTGACAGTATTTGGGTGCAATTAGCCCTACATGCTGATCAAGTCATTGAATTATCGTGTTATAGTGCAGACGAACTACGGTGTGAGGGGTCCCTTAGGGTGGGGAATCCAACCTTCTTGATAGAAGTATAGAAATGGGAATTCAATAATATATAGAGTACAACATTTTCTATAAGGACTTATGCGCCCAGTTCTTAAATTGTTTACATAAATTAATAAATACAATAATTTTAAATTAAAGAAATTGAAGAGTGGGAGGAAGGTAGAGGTTTGGAGATTTTGCAGGTTTGAAACATCTCAAAATTATACAATTGTTTAATTTTGTTTCTTATGAAATGGTAATTGTGATTTCTTTCCTCCTATGATAGATTATTAAGGCAATCATGAGTGGAATACTGGAAAATATAGATGTATACTCATGATTATATAGTTGGTGGGAGAAGGAGTTTATGTTACCAACTCTACTTCTCCTCAAATGGAGTCTTGCCCCTTTGCTTTATCTATCATCCTCTCTTCTTTCAAACCTTTAATTTCCGGTGGCCTTTTCACCTGAGTGCATGTGAAAAATGATACTAAAAAACAAAGCTAGTGCAATAACATATATTATCAAATGAATCCTATATTTGATTATTCTTATGAGCTCCATTACAAAAATGGCACCTAACAATTAAGTAAGATGCGATGGGCGAACGACGGGAATTGAACCCGCACAGTGGATTCACAATCCACGGCCATAATCCACTTGGCTACATCCGCCCCCAGACTATGTTCTTATTTTTTCAATTTTTTTTTCTAATTACTAATTAGAAATTATAGATGGAATTGTATTACCAATTATTGAAAACTTCTTTCTATACGACATTTTTAGTCATACTTGATGTTACAATATCCACACATATCAAAATTTTTAATCTCCTAAATTTACTTACTCTTGAGACTACTACGTACATTTGACCATGATTAGAGATAATCCCACGGGTGATAGTGTTTGCTGACTTTTATTTAATATCATGACATATGATAGCATAAAAGAAAATTACTTTCTTTGGAACTTGAAAGACAATCTTGAATCAGAAGGTGTTAACATTCGAGGAATTAAAACTGTTAGAAAATAATAAATTTTGTGGCTCAAACCTGTGGAGACCACTTCCATCCACGTCGCTATGCATGTCTTCACTTCTTGCACGGCATATTGCATGCCATCACCGATTGTTGCGGAGCTTCACGCAAATGCCGCATAGCTCTCTCACTTTTAATTGTATAAATAGTTGTTTAACTTTTGTAATTCATGCAACATCAATTCATTCATTCTTTCTTCTTTATCATACGTAGAGTATATATATATTCCTTTGTTTTCTCTTTATAAGAGATTAATATATATATATTTATATTTTCCCACTTTATTAATTTATTTTGTCATTTATTATATTCTCCCCTATTATTTAACTTCTATAATTCTCAATTTTCGATTCTTCGCTTCCGCATTATTCCGCTATATTCCTAACAAGTGGTATCAGAGCGGTTTAATTGAGAGTTATTTTCAAAGATGTCGACTGTTACTAAGTTCGATATCGAGAAGTTTGACGGGAAAATTAGCTTCTCTATCTGGAAGGTTCAGATGGAAGCCGTTCTAACCCAGAACGGTTTGAAGAAAGCGCTAGCTGGGAAGAAGAAGAAACCGGCTGCAATGACAGATGAAACTTGGGAAGATTTGGATGACAAGGCTCGTTCAACCATCCTTTTGTGCCTGTCTAAAGAGGTTATACGTGAGGTATTAAGTGAGACGACTGCGTCAGAATTATGGTCCACGCTTTACATGGCCAAAACTATGGCAAACAAGCTACGCCTGAAGGAGCGTCTATACACAATCCGCATGACGGAAGGTACTTCGATTAAATCTCATTTGGATGAATTTAATTCTATTTTATTGGACTTGGAGAATATTGATGTCGTAATTGAAGATGAGGATCGTGCTGTTTTATTGCTTGTCTCTCTCCCTAAATCATACATGCATTTCAAAGAAATTATGCTGTATGGTAATAGTAGTAACACCCTTACTTTCGACACTGTTAAGTCAAACCTATTGTCCAAAGAAAAGTTTGATTTTGAAATTAAGTCTGAGGACAAAGGAGAAGGCTTAATTGTAAGGGGTCGTTCACTTGAAACAGAGAGTAGCAATAAAAAATCTAGATCCAAGTCCAAAGGACGTAAGTCCAACAAATCCTGTAAGTACTGCAAGAAGCAGGGTCATGATGTGACTGAATGCTTCAAGTTGAAAAACAAACAAGAGAGAGAAAAGAAGTCTGCTGAAGCTAGTGTTGTTGAAAGTGATTCAGAAGGTGATGTTATGTTATCTGTTAGCTCCGGTGACAAACGGAGTAAAACTGAGTGGATTCTGGACTCTGGTTGTACATTCCACATGTGTCCTCACAAAGACTGGTTCGTCTCTCTAGAACCGGTTGATGGTGGAGTTGTCTTGATGGGTAATGATACCCAATGCAAGGTTAGTGGAATTGGAAGTGTTCAGATTAAAACTCATGATAATGTTGTCAGGACTCTTACCAATGTTCGGTATATTCCTGATTTGAAACGCAATCTGATATCCTTGGGCACCTTGGAATCTCTGGGGTGCAAGTACATAGCTGAAGGTGGAGTTCTGAAAATCATAAAAGGCTCTCTTGTTCTCATGAAAGCTTCTCGTTCTGGAAGCTTGTACGTGTTGCATGGCAGTACTGTGACAGGTTCAGTAGCGGTATCCTCATCGATGTCTGATGCGGATCTCACTCAATTATGGCATATGCGTCTGGGACATATGAGTGAGAAAGGCATGCATCTCCTGAGCAAGAAAGGCTTCCTTGGTGGTTCAGGTACGGGTAAATTACAATTTTGTGAGCATTGTGTTTTTGGGAAACAAAAGAGGGTTAGTTTCTCTACTGCTACACATCGTACCAAAGATGTATTGGAATATATACATTCCGATTTATGGGGACCGACTAAATTCCAGTCTATGGGAGGCTGTAGATATTTTATGTCTATTATTGATGACTTTTCTCGTAAAGTCTGGGTCTATTTCCTGAAACATAAAAATCAGGCATTTTCTATTTTCAAGACGTGGAAAATACTCGTTGAGACTCAGACAGGTAAAAAGGTCAAGAAGCTCAGGACAGACAATGGCTTGGAGTTCTGTGAGTCAGATTTCAATGACTTTTGTGCAGCAAATGGAATCGCCAGGCACAAGACCTTGCCTGGTAAACCCCAGCAGAATGGTGTTGCCGAACGTTTGAACAGGACTCTATTGGAAAGAGCTCGTTGTATGCTCTCTAATGCTGGGTTATGGAAACGGCGTGATTTTTGGGCCGAGGCCGTTTCTACTGCTTGCTATTTGGTAAATAGATCTCCACACTCATCCCTTGATTTCAAAATTCCAGAAGAAGTTTGGTCAGGTAATCCTGTTGACTACTCTATCTTAAGAGTTTTTGGATGTCCTGCTTATGCTCATTCCAGTACGGGTAAATTAAACCCGAGAGCTGTCAAATGCATTTTCCTTGGTTATGCTTCTGAGTCAAAAGGGTATCGTCTATGGTCTCCTGATTCTCATAAAATCATTCTGAGTCGAGATATCACTTTTGACGAAAATGCACTACTTTCTTCTGAAAAAGATTCCAGTACAGATGAGACGCAGAGTACTGGTGATAAGGTGGAGTTTGATTTCAGGCCTAATGATAGTATTACTACCACTAATGGTAATACTAAAGATGATGCATCTACAAGTACCGCACCTCTCGTCGAGCCACAGCGAGAGTACTCTATTGCCCAAGATCGGCCTAGGAGGACAATTAAAAAACCTGCTAGGTACGCTAGTGACGATGAAACCCACTTGGTTCCTTATGCTCTTTCAGTTGCACAGGAGGTTGATGGTGATCCATCCTGCTATTCTGAAGCTATTTCCTGTGCCAACTCGTCCAAGTGGTTGGTTGCTATGCAAGAAGAGATGGAAAGTCTCCATAAGAATGAGACTTGGGAGCTGGTAGAGTTGCCGAAAGGTAAACGCCCATTGAGCTGTAAGTGGATTTACAAAAAGAAAGAAGGCATTCCTGGGGTTGAGAAAGCACGGTGGAAGGCACGGTTAGTTGTTCGAGGTTTTGATCAACGTGAAGGTATTGACTTTAACGAGATTTTTTCTCCAATTGTTCGTCATACTTCTATACGTGTTCTACTTGCTTTTGTTGCTCTTTTTGATTTGGAGTTGGAGCAACTTGATGTAAAGACTGCTTTCCTACATGGAGAGCTTGATGAAGAACTTTACATGTACCAACCTGAAGGATTTGAAGTTCCTGGGAAGGAACATTGTGTCTGCCGTCTACAAAAATCTCTTTATGGGCTAAAGCAAGCTCCAAGGCAATGGTATAAGCGGTTTGATGCGTGTATGTTGGGGCAAGGATTCTCAAGAAGCCAGTATGATAGTTGTGTCTATTTTAAAGAATTTTCTAAAGGGTCTTTTGTCTATTTGCTTCTTTATGTTGATGATATGCTCATTGCTTCCCCTGATATGTCTCTGGTTGATGAGTTGAAGTCTCAACTAAGCAATGAGTTTGAGATGAAAGACCTCGGTGCAGCAAAGAAGATTCTTGGCATGGAGATACACAGGGATCGTCAAGCGGGTAAACTTTATCTATCCCAGAAAAAGTATGTTGAGAAGGTGGTTGATCGATTCAATATGTCCACTTGTAAACCTGTGTCTACTCCACTTGGTGCACATTTTAAGGTATCCTCTGGTTCATGCCCTAAGTCTGATGTTGATGTGGCTTATATGTCAAAAGTTCCTTACTCTAGTGCTGTTGGAAGTCTTATGTATGCTATGGTATGCACTAGACCTGATTTGGCTCATGCTGTAAGTGTTGTGAGTCGTTACATGCATAACCCTGGTAAGGAACATTGGAACGCCGTTAAATGGATTCTACGGTACC